TCCATGCACCTGTTTAACAATGAACCAGATTGGTCGAGTCACACTCAATGAGCCGTCTTATTTTGCACAACCACATGGACAAAGCTCGAATTCCGGAAGGACAAGGACCCGAGGTCCGCCGTTGCTTTGTCTTCGATATGCCGTTGAGTCTGCGTTGGCGAACGCATTGACTTCTAGTGCCACCACCAAACTGGGGAAAGATGCATCCCCCTTCAAGCTTCACCCAGAGTCCCAGGCCGTGCTCTCCAGTGGGCATTGAGATGACAAACACGGCAAGAAGAAAGCTTCCAGTAACAGGGCATTATCTTGGTTGATTGACAGGGGGAGAGGTAGGGGGCCTAGGGGCCTGTTTACCCCTGTCAAAAATCGCTGCATGCTGGCTCACCGGCTGTGCACCCCTCCCGCCCGCGGCCACAGCCCTGGGTGGTTTAGCTGACAGGACTGGGGACTTGCTCGCTAGAGTGTCCAGTGTTCTCAGCAGGCACCTCAAATATGGGGGGTAGACGTGGCTCCTGTCGGGACAATACGCCCCAGACCCAGAGTGCACTTTGGATGGCTGTTATTTACGTGCTGGCTGATACGTAGCTCAACGGGCCGACGTGTTTTTCATGCTTCGCTTCGGTCAGAGTTCCCTGGTTTCACATCCTTAGAGTGTCTTCTTGGAAGGAAGCAGTGTTCCCCTCTGTCTACGGTGTCAACGGCGTCTTGCCACAGACATCCGGGTATGAGCCAGCTTGCGTTTGCAGCAGCACGAGGTTGCAGTTCATTTGGATGCAGATGGACTTTCACTACACCCAGGCGAGGCCGTAGGCAGTGTTACTGTGGCTACTTGTATGTCGTTTACAAAGTAACGAAAGTAAACAAAGCCGCAAGCCCGAGTTTCGCTTCTGTGTAACGACAATGATAGGGACAAATGATGACAGCAGCTTCACCAAAGTCAAACTGGGGTGATTATGGCCCTGCTGATCTTTGTTTGTGTCCATGAGGGTTGAATTAAAGTCTGAGTTGGCGTTTGGACCCTTCAGTTTCAGGCTGAGGCGCGGTTGCAAGTGCGCTCATTGGTATGGAAGTAGCTGATGATAAGCTTGTACTTGATGAGGAAAGAACACTTTTGCCAAGCCCATTGGCTTGGTTTGGAAGCAAGAGCGAAATGATGCAAATGATCATATTATGAGGTATGCGACGTACACTTCGCAGGTGTTGCCTACCAACTCTATCACCATCCTCATGATCGTAATTCGACCAATTTAGCAAGAAGCTCACCACCTTCCAAGTCCCCGCTTGCCGAGACTTCATTCGGCGATTTAGTTGCCGAGGGGGGCCTACAGTAATTAATTTTGCATGAGCGAGGTGTGGATGCCCCGCCTCTGTTCTTTGTTCTGCTGCACGTAAATGTACAGTAGCCTCGAGGAGCAAGAAAACAGAAGACTATAGAAGAGGGTGCAAAAATAAACACAGCAAAGAGTACCATAAGCTTAGTCTAAAGTTACCTAAGTATTTTTGTCACTTAAGATCAAGGTCCTGGGTTTTCTTTCCTCCCCTAGAGTGGGTATCCGTATGTGAGATTGGCAAGAGCTGCTGGGGGAACAAGACGAGATGGAGAGAAGGTAAGGTAGGTAGGTAGGTAGGTAGGTAGGTAGGTAGGTACCTTACTGCACGTAGTCGTTGTTTGCTTGTTTGGGCAGGAAGGAAATGCCCAGATGGGTTCTATGACAGACTCGATCTTGATGACCTTGATTGATCTCAGATCTCTCCATTCAAGGGCGCTTGACTTGCAGGCTTAGCAACCATCCAATCTACAAACCCCAATGAATCAGCCATCTCCATTGGATAATTGCCAGCCTTGGATGCAATCGAACGGTAGCGACGCGGCGCGAAATGACAGATACCGGCCCATCATGCTATTGCGTTTAGCCACTAGGATCATGTGTGACCTGCTTGCCTGGCCTGGCCTGGTCTGACTTTCAAAGGATGGATCAATGTTTAAATTTGCTTTGTTTGTTGACCTCTGAATGTTGTTCCCAACATGACATTACATCACCTGCCCCTCGCTGATGTGAGTTTTACTTGTCCGAGCTCGTCTTTGGTTTGGCGCATTTCCCCTCCCCTCTTCCCTCTGCTCCCTCCCCCTCCATGTCTGTCTTGTCTGGTCGGCATTTTACTTCTTTGATGCTGGTAGTGAAGAGTTAGCGTCAACCTCCATCTTTAGCGTCCACCACTTTCAACCTCAGAAGAAGTCACTCATTCGCCAGATGGCGCGGATTGCGCTAAACTTCAGGTAGACAGACTTTCTTTTGTTTTGACTTTGTACCACACCATGCGATCGCACTCCGATTGGCACGATAGCCTACCGACAAATACACCATTGACGCCAAAAAATTGCGTACACACCCCACTCACTCACTCACTCACTCACACACTCGCTCGCGCGCCTGGGATAACAAATCAGTACCCACTCTCTCAGGCAGGAGTCACTTTCTCACCCTCATCCTGGCGGGATGCACACAGACATACAAGCTTGCGTCAATGTATTTGCATGGCGTCCGGGTAAGGTCTGCGGTTAGAATTTAAAGCCGAGTGTATCATTACCTCGAGTCGGACAGAAGAAAGCTGTCGGTGTGGTATCATACTTCACGTATTGCCGTGGGAGGCTGTGTTGGGTGAGGTTTGCTCGTCGTGTAAGGCAAGGTCCAAGGTTGCTTCATCAATAAATAAACTTTCGCTTTCCTTGTCCCCGTCTATTAAAAATCCGAGACCCTCCTTGACCTTGCCAAGTGCATTTTCTACCCCTCTTCGTCGAGTAGCTAGAAGGACGGACTGATATGCTTGGGAATTACCTGGGAGCAACATATTGCGTAGGTACGTAATGATACAGATAGATGACCGGTCAAACCTCACAGTGGCTAATCTGGCATTCGAACCATCTCAGGCACATCGAGTCTCAATCGCGGCTGAAACAGTTTCGGCTGGACTGCATCGGCCAACTGCATTCGTACTATACTGAACTGCACTGCACATACATGCAACACCGAGTCCAGTGTACCACTGCAGCATCTGCAAGAGACGCATTTTGGGTCCTTGGATATCAAGGAGACCTGCACCATCTGCCATATTTTGCCTCGGAACTGGCTTCTTTAACAGCTTTTTACGCATCAGCATTTTCTCAAGTGTTGAGATCAACAATAGCATCTTCGAAACCAAGCAGAAAACCACTCTATTTTCCAGCCTTTCCCCTTTAGTTCAAGCTTCTCTGAGCCCCTTGATCCCCGGACCTGATCCCCGGACACGATACTCGCTAGCGAAGGCCGTGTCCACCAAACACAAGCAAAGCGTCCAGCTGCCCAGGCACGACAAGGACAAGGACGGATCCAATTTACTCCATTGAACCAAAGACTTGGAAGCAGCCGAACCATCCCAGCCCAGCCCAGTCCAAGCAAGAAACCAAATCGATCAGCAGTGCTTGGACCGAGCGTCAGGAGGAAACGGACCTTACTTACTGACTGTACCTTGAGTCCTTGACCTAGCTGAGGAATTACCGGGACGTGCGACAGATTCCTACCTCCAGCTACCGATTGATTACCTTACCCTACCAGCTTACCTACCTCCAGACGGACTACTTGCGCCCGCGCCGCACTTTGCGATTCTCGCTGCCGTTGTTACCCTCCAAGTTTTCACACATCTCGACTACCTAGACTACCGACCTTACACATCTGTATCTCTCTTAAAATAAGTGAGTGAGTTTGCTAAGGTAAGGTGGTTTAAAATACCTATCACACGGCCTTGCTCGCCCCCTCTCCCGTGTTCTGCTTCCAAACCATCCACTTCATTTCCCGTCTCTCCTCTTCATTCCCAACATCATCCCTCCATCTACACATACATATATGCGCACACACTGGCAGGATTTCGCAGGGTTGTTGATCTCTTCAATCTTTGGTAGTCCAGGGCAGACAACGTAATTACTGGCATCAGTACAGTACCACTCTTGTGTGTTACCTGAACTTTTAGGGGTATTCCGCCTGTCCCGTCACTCTGCTGCTGCTGCTACCCACCGAGTCGCACTCTCTGGGTTGGTCTCCATTCCCTTGGCTCCTCTTACACAAGGTGTTTAAAACTCCCTCTCGCTTGACTCAGGCACCAAAGTACAATCCCGTGTTCCCTCACCCCCAGCGTATCTCCGTCACATACCAGTCTGGACTTGGGGACACCCATACCTTACCTCCCCCCAAATCCACCTCCACTCACTCACTACCTGACCTGCTTGCTGTAGGGATATGTACCAAGCATTGCCAATCCTTCCCACCATCTTTTCGCTACAGACACTACCGCTGCCGCTACCGTTTCTTTCTCCCCTACCTAAGGTAGCCGTGTCCTGCGGCTGGGGTATGAGAGTTTCTGGCGCGCCCCTACATTAACCACAACGGCCCCCCTCTCCAATCCTCGCAACATTCATTGCAACTTGCACCACACCTGCTTGCTCTGCTCACTGCACTGCACTGTCTGTCCTGCCTGTCGCACTCCTTTTCACGTCATTTTCTCAGCGCATTCATTCTACCTTACCCATCATCTTGCTAACGCGACATCGCACTTACAGAGCGCAACATCATACTTTGTCTTGATTATAGCGATCTTCAGACCCAATTGCATCCATACTGATATCATTGAGTCAATCATCCGTGCCAGCCATCAACGCGCAACTGTTTACCTCGATCCTAAACCACCACGTAAAGGCAGATTACGCCAGACTACGATCCGCCTCAAACCATTCACCCTTTTTAGGTTGTCACTCATCTCTCACAATTTGACAACACACTCATCATCAACTTTGCGATTGCGCCCGCGACTACACCAATACAATACAATACAATACCTACGACAGACGCGATCACGACAAGCTTGACCTCCAAGGTCTCTTCGATCGTCGGTCGCATTCGCTTAACCCCAAATCATATTTCCCCGACCAATAAGGTCTTGTCCCAACTTATGCAACTGCACAGTGGGCAATGAACATTGATCGAAGCGCACCACCATCCGATCCAGCAAGGATAGCATCTCCAAAAGCCAATCTTTCCTATCGCGCAAGTCCTTTGCCGCCTCCAACCGCTACTTCAGACAACCCATCTGCTGCGACGGCAGCCCTATCTAACACCACAAGTACAGCCGCATCTGCTGCGTCACTCTCGGCCATGGCTACACCTAGTTTTGTCAATCCTAGCCTTCGATCTATGGCATCACCGTATTCTCACCCCCAGATGTCGCGCGATATCCACAGATATACTCCGGCACCAATAGGCTTCTCCTCCCCGGTTGAAGTCTTGATTCGAAATCTGCCGCTAGAAACCTCCACGGAGTCGTTGCGGTTCATGCTGGTTTGGTCGCAAGATCTCGTCGATGTCGAACTACTTGCTGTGGACCCTACAGAGCCACACTATCGTACAGCATCGCTCAAATTCCGAAGCAGGGCAGGCGCTGAGGTTGCCAAGCAGCTACTACATGGGTGCGGGAACACTTCCAATGGTGCGCCTCTGGAAGTCGAAATTCTCAGCGACGAGCCTACAGAACCTGTTCGCAGCGGCTTTCAATCACTGGAGAACATCTCCCCTCACACAACCAATGTTTATCCTAGGCACGACCTTCCTCAGAGTGAGGGCAACTTGCAACAGATTTTCTCTCCACATTCTCCCATCGGCAATCACCTGAACGAGCCTGGCAGGGTGACAGGCAAGAGCCTTATCGCCAATGATGATAATGATGACACCCTCAATCTCGTTGGAGACGCGCTTCCCTACAACGATACACCGCGCAGGGCCACAGTTCCTAGTGTTCCCATCAACGGGATGGCTTCTCTTTCACTCAACACCAACATGGCCCCTTCCGCTCCTTCGTCTCTACCTCAATACGGCAGCGCAATGTCAGCACAGTCTGGTCCCATGTCTCCGTCGGGCAAGGGCCATTTTGGGTACCAGGCTCCAAACCAATCACCATACGGACGTATGAACTATCCGCACGCCAACACGGCTGACCAGAACCCCCCTTGCAACACTCTGTATGTTGGTAACCTTCCCATGGACACGGCCGAAGAAGAACTCAAGACTCTCTTCTCCAAGCAGCGGGGCTACAAACGTCTTTGTTTCCGCACGAAAGGAAATGGGCCCATGTGCTTTGTCGAATTCGAAGACATCCCATTCGCTTCCAAGGCACTGACGGAACTCTATGGGAAACTGTTGTCCAACAGCAACAAGGGCGGAATTCGACTCAGCTTCTCTAAGAATCCCCTGGGTGTACGAGCTGGCCAGAATCCTGCTCACGCAAACCAAGGTGCACTGGGTCAAATGAACGGCAACCTCGCCGCCTCTATGAACGCTTTCGGGTCCGCCAACCGCCCAGCTCCTGGACCGCCTCCTGGGCTTCCCCAGCCCATGCCCGGAAACGGCCGAGGCCCCTTTCATGGAGGGGCCTCGATGAACCCTAGCCCCGCTGGCACTTTCAGTGGTTTCACACATCAAGCCTGGCCTGTTACCACGTTCAACAACCATGCTATGCCATCGCCTCACAGTGCCCATGCTCAATCAGCAGGCTTCAGTCCAGCTTATGGTCTGGGAAACTAAACAAAATACTCTCCATGGTTGACGAGCACAGTCCACATCCTTGGGTTTTATGTGTGACTATACATCCCTGTTGTTGACCGGGACTTTCGTGCTCAATCGATGCATTGCTTTTTTATGTTTCGTTTCGTTTTGTTTTATCTTCAGTTTTCCTCAATGATTCCCCATTTTTTTATGAACACCCACTCATTTTCATCGTTTATACACGGCGTTTTGATTCTCGCAGTTGGGAGTGCTTCTTCAGCTTACAGCCGTCCTGTGGATGGTTCGGCTGGGTGTGGATATAATTCAGAGCCAACAGACATCAAGTATCACAAGTCTTTGATCTGGTGTAACTTGGTGCACTGTTCGCCTCGAGTGCAAGCCACAAACTCTCGCTGCGAACTCCTTCGACTTGATCACACCCCTGATTTCTCTCAATACAATTGGCAACTGCAACTGAGGCGCAACCTATGACTTTACGGTACAAACTCAAAAGAAGAAGAGAAAAGCAGTAAAACAAAGACGGTAGAGGATGGCGAAATTCACCAGGGGAAGGGAAGTGAAGAAGAATGGAGGTTAGGAGTTGAGATGTGGCGAGTCACAATGGAAAGTGTTTTTTGCATGGAAGAACGGGGTTCAGGGAAGCGCGGATTATTGAGATTCATTTGGTTCATATCAACGCTGGGAGTTTATTTGGGATAAGGTAAGGATGGATCAGGATTCCCTGGAGCATGGAAGAAACTGGAGCGGTCGTCCCGCGTTTGCATTCAGAAGGATTGGAGCATGGGATCGGACGGCTACACGAGATCAAGGACTCGACACACACGCATACCAAGATATCACCACTGGGCATTTCCAGCAGACCGCATCGGCATTGAGGAGTTCATTTATCTGATCCATCACTACGGGAAACTGGCGTTTGAAGTCTTTGTCGATGGACAAGGCATACTTGGGCTCATCTGTTGCTGTTGGATCAGAGCTCTTTGAAATGTCGCATTTGGAAGGGAGGACAGCATCAATGGAACATTGGGGAGGGATTGGGCTTAACGCGATATATCTATATATGCACCGCGTCAGGCGCAGGAATAGGGCGTTTTCCTTTCTATTTCTTTCTCTTCTTTTTTCCCCCTTTCACGCATCAGAATTCGGGCTGCCACGCGAGTTGGGGCATGCATTTGCAAGCACAGCCTTTTACATCTTGATCAAGGCGGATGAAGCATAGCACGGTGGATTATGGGCTTTCTTCTGGTAAATGTTATCGAGTCTCAATGACACGGCTACAGATTCCTACCTTCGGCCGGTAGGCGGTTATTAGCGATAGAGTACAAGTTTTAGCTGTTTTTTTGTTTATTTTTAGCTCTCGTGTCTCCCTCCGCGTGCATGATGTGTCAATTCCTTCGTTCTTTGACAATCTAAATCAGTCCATCACGTAGTCAAGTTCCTATCCTCATTACGAAGTATTGACGAATATTGACGAATATTGAGGGTCATTCGCATGCCACTAGCCTCATCATCACAGTATTATTGGTTCGCCAGCGCTTGAATTGCAGTTTCAATGTCATTACATGCCCCAGTCAGCTTGACGTTACAACTACTACCCCAAAGAACGTGGTGCATTGAAAGTGAAGCCGACGATATCCTCGTCCATAATCAAGAAATGCAACTTGAATATGCTCAAGTCCTAGGGATTTGATCATATGAGTATCTACCAGCATTACCGGTGAGGCATATCCATCTCGATGAAACCCGGCTGTTAACCAATGGCTCTGAGGCTTCCACGCATACAAATGCTGACAGGGTAGGGTAGCATTGTGTGGCTTGACAGATGCAAGTTAAAGTAGGTCGTGTATCTGAATACATATGCGCTTCGTGTGGTGCTGCATTCGCTGCAGTCGGCGCTTCGTACACAGACCGAGGCGCCTGTGCCTGTGTAGATGCTCGTGCTCGTGTTACGCACCATCGGGAACCGGTGACGGGAGGCCCCAGAGGATGGTGCTTACCAATATGCATCTGTCTCTGTTTACAGCCTGTAGATGGGTTACACTCTACTACACAACGATATAGCTTATCCAGGTTCGCGGGCCGAGCCCTCGACGGGTGGACGGGACGGGCGCGGAAATTGGGAAGGGGGAGAGATGCTGTGCGACAAGGGAGGTTGTCATGTGGGAATAACCGGTAGCAAGGGGTGTGTGGGCGAGGACAGGGGGTGGAAATGGGTTGTTTCTGTGTTGAGACGCCTGCAGAGGCACCGAGATTGTGTGGTCTGCGGCTATTGGATGGGAGAGGAGGCGGAGACGATCCGGTGGGTAGGGTATTAGTCGAGAGGCTGATCAGATAATCTGTTTCTGGTGTTTGTGTAGGTATATGTGAGGGGGATGCTCATGCAGGCATGATAAACTTGGGACGACGGTGGTAGCAGTGCAAATGGAGTTGCAGTAGAGTACTACCAGTCGATGAACCCAGGGATCGACTATGCAAATCACCTAGGATGAGACTAAAACCGTAGCTATGAGATTGCTTACTGCGTGGATGAGGCATCTGTCACATGTTTACCAGGGTGGTGGTGTTCCAGTTTGATGTTGGCAACGCCAACTGTTTGGTAGTTGAGATATCACATCCATCGGCTGCCTGGCTAGCTCTACGAGTCCAGTGAGCCATCATTTGCCCAACTCATGGTCATGGTCGCCCATAGATCATGGTACATGGTTTGCTGTCCATCCGCATTCAGACCCGGTGTGAGCAGTGCAGAATTCATGTCAAAGTCTGTGTCCCACGCCGATATGTATGGCTGCATATCTTTATCAAACATGGGGCATCCTTGGTGTCCCACGCCCCTAGAACTTAGACTCGGAGCTGTGAGCATAGCAATGCGTCTGTCGTACTTTGATTTCACAACACGTAGTATCACACGGCTTGCGGAGAGTACGTCGACACGTTTACTAGACGGTGTGAGATCCTCCGGCCCGTCACACATGAACTCGAGGAATTCGTCAAACCGTAGCTGTGAGCGTGCCCAAGCATGATCCCAGTCTGGCACCTCAGATATGGGGAAAGAGAGTCGCACGGCGAGGATCACGGAGAGGATGAACTTTGTCCAATCGATGCTTGTGAAGTACTTGAAGCTGTCGAGGTTGAGGAGGTAGTCGAACAGGGCGCGGGTGTTATTCACGCAGCGTATGAGACGGGATGATGATGGGTGGATGAAATGAGGCTTCTTTGTGTTGGCGCGTGTGAGGCAGAAGATGGCACCGCCTTGCAAAAAGACGTCGAAGAAGAGATGTGCAAGTTTCACAGGTGCTGTATAACGTTAGTAATGTTAGCACTGCAACAAAGATGGCTTACCTGAACGAGAGAGATGTGGTACCATGGTCTCTTTCATCTCCTTGTGCTGCATCTCAAGTCCCAGCAGCATAAGCTGAACCTGCTGGTTTACCTGTGGATCATTATCTCGTATCGAGTTGTTCGCCGTGGTCGTCATGTTTGCAAGTCGAACAAGGTAGCTCAGTGAAACATCACCATCAGCTTCGGCATGGCGGTGAAGCAGTTCGCAGCACGTTGCGGTCCAGGGCGTCCACTGAGGCATGAGCAGATCCATCTTCTTCCAAGTGCAGAGGAAGCTGTCCAAACTGTGAGTAAGTTGGTATCGGTGTATCTCGAGGAGGACGTACTTGGACACGGCGTAGTGGTATGCTAGATAGGCCCGTAGTCTGTCGAGCTGCATACTGCTCATATCGCCCGGTATCGTGTTATCAAGATTGGGCATTTCTTGGTCGAGCTCGAGGTCGCTTAAGAGATCACCAGCCATACGGTAGTATTGGAAGGCCTGTCTGTTCTTTGGTCTCAGATGAAATGGGTACCTGTGACTGTTAACAGCATGCCAAACTTGTCCAGGGCTGATGTGCTGACCAAGCGCAATAGATGAGAATGCCTTGTAGCAATTCCATGCTCCTCTCGCCACTTGCCACGAACTTGAGGCCCAACACTTTTCGAAACTCATCGTCGTAAAGCGTATGTCCCTGCAAAGTGCGCGATCCAGAAGCCGCAGCTAATATCGATAACAAGACAAACGGCCTGGACGCAGCAAGGCTGGCCACCGTCTCATCAGGCTTCAACACAATGACAGGATAATGAACCAGCATCCCCCGGAACGAAACTAACAGTGACTCTGCGGAGTCAAGGTTGAACTGGGGTTTGGCATGGAAAGATTGTATCGAAAGCGTGTGAGATGATGAGGGCGTGGGAAAGCTCGTGAGCGGCGAATCGTCGAAGCTACTGAGATCCGCATCTGGATCCGAAGGGAATATTGAGTCTATGAACTGCGCATGTGAGTCTCGAAGATTGTCAAAGTTCTCATCGACGTCCAATTGCGTTGGAACTTCAAAGTCAATGGTGAAAGTCTTTGATGGCGCTGGTGGAGGAGGAGGCGGTGGTTGATGAGTTTCCATGGCACTGTGTCATGCTATCAATCAGCCTGGTTTCCCAATGCGATGCGACAGTGTATTTCCTACTATTTTGTCCTTCTTCTGCGCGTTCGCGGGCCTGTTCGGGATATACATTCTTTCTTGGACTCGAGACACCTTTCCACGTCAGATGATGCCCTGCAAACGGATCCTCGATAGAGAGAGGCCTTACTTGCGACAGACCCCAGGCTGTTCACTCGGCTGGCATTTTATCTTTGTAGCGCGGCAGGCTTCGCAGGCTGTTGAGACCCTCTTCCGAACTGGACAAGCCTCAGTTGTCGGTGACTGGCTTGCCATTTGTGTCGAGATGTCGATTGGTGGCGGTTTTGTTTTGGTAGCGAATTGACGACGATTAACGGTGAATGAAACAAAACTTCATGCGACAACTTGAAAGATAGAGTCGTGACTTGCGCTGGCCGGTGTAATGAGGAACCGAATCATGCTCAATCGCCGACAGCTCTCGGATCTTATGACCCACAGAAGACAGCTGACATTGGACGTAAGCACACATATAATACAGCCAGTGACAGTGAGTATTGGATTACGAGTGGTGTTTGGGGAAAATAGAACAAAGGAGAATAGAAAATATTAGGGAAATATGGCTTCTTTAATTGATGTCTTGCCCAAACCTTCTCTCCTAACACGCCTGATCAAAACATACACTAACTAACGCCCAAATAATGATACACCACAAGTCATCAACACACAACCTGACACATATACATACATACACGCACACCCTCATTCAACTACTGTATACTTCAACCCCGGGTTTGCCTCCTTCAGAGTCTTTTCCACGATTTCCCATAGAGGCACTGCCAGCTTCTTAATCTCATACGCAGCCGTCTTAAGTCCATGTCTTTCGTGTCTGTGCCTCGCGAGATTGGATGCTGCACATCCTATCGAGCAGTATGTAGTATCCCTCTTTTGATCAATACATTCCTTGCACGCCACTGCGTTACTAGTCCAGTCCTGCATTTCCATGTCTTCATCATCATACTGCACACATCTATCTCCGCTCTCGCAGTCGTGCTCCATTTCATTGTGGTCGCCCTGCTCAGGTTAGATCCAGTCAGTCTGAAGAAGCTGGTGACACTTACGACACCCCTTTCGAAGCATTCATCCGAGCACCACACTGTTAACTCCCTCGTGCCGCCCATATGAGCAAATGCCTGGCACACCGAGCACGACAGAACATCTTTAGGATCCACCGTAGCTGCACAAACTGCACATGGTGGTAGATTATATAAGTCCTGGGAAATAGCGGGCGTTTGGCTTGCTTGGGCTCGAATCTTATGCTGCAGCCTGTTCTGCTCAAACGCCATCTTTGCTCTACGCAGCTCATCCAGCCGGTTTCTGTGATGCTCACGTTGCGGTTCCGTCGTAAGGCTCGCTTTGTGATCTTGTGAGATCTGGTCAATGACTTGCTCAATGGACATTGTGTCGCTGGCTGCATACGCTTCCAGGTATTGCTGCGCGTTTTCCACCACCTCTCCCGTTTGCGAATCTTTGAAGAAGAAGTCGATGTAGATCTGTTTCAATGATGCTGCGTCGTTTTTGGCGGCTGTGATTTGATCGGTGAGAGAGTCCACGTCGGCTTCCCAGTTGGCTGGCTTGCCAACACCCTCCCATATCCTCTCAGTGAGCTCTTCCCAGCGCTTAACCGGGTCGTCTAGCATTGCTCGCAGCTCGTCTTGATCCGCCCCGCCTTCTCCTACTGAGAGGAACTGCGGGTACATGCGTAGCACCCAGCGGTACCATGCCTCTTTTTCCGATGCAATACTGTCTTCGATTGACTTGAGGTCGATCTTCTTGTGATCTTTGACATCGCTAAACATGACGTCCAGTTCATTCAGAAATGCTCTTCGCTCCGAGAACCACTCCCTGCCTTCTGCATCGCAATATCGAGCACGCATTCTGTCAAGGACCATAGGGAAACACTTTTCGCATTCCACCACGCTTGCTTTTTCGCATTCTGATAAACACGCCTTCTTGATGGCATCCACTTCGTCGGCGCATTGTTGCCTGTGCACTCTGGCCGCGCTCAACTCTGTCCAGTGTTCTGGCAGAGAGACTTTGCCCGTCGAACCCATTTCTCCCAATCCTGACGTGACAAGGTTGAATCCGTTCTTGATCTCTAAATAGTAAACTTGTAAGAATGATCAATTCGGGGGGTTGCCAAAAGGTCAGTAAAGTTGAGGTTGCTGAACTTTATATACAAGATGAGAAACAGTTCTAATTTTGTCAATGAAGTAGCAGCTCGTAGTTAATGCGCCGTTTTTTTTTTTTTTTTTTTGGTCGTGTTAATGTCGTCTATTATTGTTCTCGATGAAATGAGAAGCAGGGCTGATTCACTGGAGATCTGTAGGTAAAGCCCAAACTGCCGATGTTTAGGCGGTGTATATCAGCTGGGGAAGGTAAGGTAGTTGTTTCATCCTCAATCACTACATGCCATCAACAAATCCTCTCTTATTGCTACTAGGAATACAGACAAGTATGTTATGTAGGACAAGAGAACATATTGAGCCCCTAACTATGTTCTTAAGCAAGTCTTGAGCAGCACCAGTGGCCACCTGAAAAAGTCTCATCATCTCGACTTACATGGATGGAAATGAGTCAGATCAACGATGCCCATAATGGCAGCAATGCAACCATTTCTTGTATATATAAAAGATCAATAGATGACGCAGTAATCTCTCTTGGATAATCATTCAATTTTCATGAATTTCTATCAACTCAAAAGGCGTTGCTGTACATGTCCTGGTTGTCCGAGTACTGGGGTTATGCACATACCGAGGCGCCCTATCTTATCAGACGCATCAACTTTCATCATTTCGCGATCTCGGCGCATTTGTTCGTCTGCTAACAAACAACCATATCCAATATCAAGCAACATGGTACGTCTCTTCCACTCTCAATTTACGAACATCGCATACTGACATATAGCAAGGCCGACAAACTCCGCACCCAGCAAGAACTCGAGCGCCTCCAAGCGAAATACATCGGCACTGGTCACCCAGACACGACAAGCTGGGAATGGCGCACCAACATCCAGCGCGACACATACTCTTCCATCGCCGGCCATAGGCCTCTTCTCTCTTATATCGCACTTGCTGAGAACGAACCTATTATCAAGATTCGCGCGCAGATGATCAGGGTATGTCAAGCTGCTCCTTGTCAACGACCAATAGCTAACCTTTTGGGACACAGAAAATGGTACAGCCTTGTGGTCCTCCTCCACCACGCGAGGATTAGAGCGGACGGACAATACGATATCGCCGGCAGGGCTAAGAGATTCAACTTGGTTTCGTTTCGCTCGGGAATTGGAAAGGCGTCAAGGATTAAATACCCCTATGGTTGGGAAGGTTTTGGACCTACAATACGATATTTCACCATACAAGCTTTGAATTGAATGTTTCGTCTTTGTTGGGGTATCATAATGTCGACATTAGTCCTCATCCCTTTTGTCTTATCCCTGCATTCGACTGCCTTCGCCCTCGGCTTCGTCTTCTTCTTCCCCGTCCTGCTGAGGCGCATCCCTGATGTTTAGACTTGCACGAAGCTTCTTCTCGTTGTCATCATTCCAGCTGTCGCCATAAACCTCCCGTGTCATGCCCATCACACCGTCAACGCCGACTTCTTCTTTCCCACGAGGGCCGACATGCCACGTCGTAGTCGGGTCGCCATCTTGGCCCAAAGGTGGTCTTTCAACTCTCTTGACGACGTAGCCTTGTTTCTCCATCCTCTTAAGGACTATTTCTGTCTTGTCCATCGACACATTCCGGTCGGCGTTGAGTCGCTGGAGATAACGCTTTAACTTCTGATCGCTCAATTCTCCACCGCTCAGATAAATCACCGAAATGATCATTGTGTAGAATCCTGCGTATGTAGCTTCGTCGTCCGCACTTGGTGTCTTGGATGGGGTGAGGATTGCTGCATGGCGATACGCTTCTGGTAATATCGACGTGAGGATGTAGGCGCCAGAACCGACCTTGGGCTGGGCATTAGCCTTCATAGCTAGGCGTTATTAGTAGCTGGATCAAGTACGATGGATGATAGCTGTACCTTGACGCTTTTCCTGGAGTGACATCTTCTCTCTAACGGGCAACTCCCTTAATTCCATGCCCCAGACCCGTCTGAGCTGTGTCTGCGCCAAGTCGAAGATGCGCCTAAAGGATCGGCCTTGGGTGCCGAGAACTGTTCCGGAATTAGCTTTGGCCTGTTATCCCACAGTTACCATTGTTACCTCGTTCTTTAATACCGTCTCGGCGGATCGCGGTTCTTGAATATTCGCAGGAAATAACATACCGCACCAGCTTCTTCACCAATTGATCGTCGGCACTCTGGGTATGGTGCTGGTCTTCATCCATTTCGGCATCGCTAGCTTCTTGTTCGTTCTCGTGCTCGAGATCTGCCCTGTTCCGTTGACGAGGCCGAACATCTTCCTCTGATTCCTCGTCTAGGGCCTGAAGAGTATAGCAAGTTAGAGCTTCGTCCTTGGTGAATCACTGAGGAATTGAACTCACGGGACGGCGGCGCCTTTGCGTAGGCATAGTGATAACAAACAATTTTTGTTACTCAATATAGAATCTTACACAGATACTCAGATTGATACTGCCAAAGTCCCAATGATGCAAATATTGGCGATTTGTATGAATGAAAAAGATGGAGGGGGTGGCTTATACCTACTGACAAAAGGCTATACGCGGTCTTGCCGACTTAGACGCGTTGAGTCTTATCAACCAACAGGACGGGAACTTATCGCTTATCGTTATCGCTTATCGGATAAATTTTCTAGTAATGATGCTCTCGGGCTTAGTTTTGGGCAATTTTGGTCGCATTGTCACATTCCGCCCACTCAATGGGGCTTCCCTATTTCTTGTTTAATTCTCAATGATTTCTAGAGCGGTGCGAGTGCCGCGTATTCGCCTGGCATGCAGGTTTGGCTTAATAACACAACGAAGCACTGGACTGGGCTTCCGACCAAGTCCAGTCCATGAAGGTCTTGCACGACGATTATATACTTCCGACCTTGGAAATGCTGGGGATAACAAGGTTGAGCCTTTCATAACGAATACGGACGCTTCGAAAACAACGCCGAAAGAAGAGCAATTGGACGACGAGTCAAAAGTTTCGCCTACGGGGTCAGAAGACGCAACAACGGCTCCGAATCTTCCCTCCACCGCCAACGTCGACTCTAAGCCAACCAGTAGCTCCGAGGAACCTCAATCAGACGATGACCCGATCTCCAAGGACACGAAGGCATCCCCTGGCGACGAGACATTCCCAGAAAAGCTGATTGACGATGCACTGAACGAATCCCCATTGAAACCGCAATCGTCAAGATACGTTTTACCTGACCTGTCCGACCTCCCCAAATCGTCGTCAGGATGTTCACCTAGCCCCGAACAGTATGCGCTGGACGAGCTCTTGGGCAAATCGCAGAAGTCAGAGATCGAGACATTTGCACTGCCTGAACTGGAAGCCCAATATGTTGTTGATGAGCTCATGCCTTTGCCAAAGAGACGCCTCCACGATCGTCTGATGCACGATGAATCCCTCGGAGTATCTACTCTGGGAATGCCAGCTGATGCCATCATCATCAACAATCCGAACATGACACGTATCGAGCGGCCAGCCCCCACCGTGGTGGAAGCGAAACCTATAGAAACCCCAGATCTTGACTGGCAAAATTTGACTCCTTCCGGAATGACAGAGCCTGAATATGAAGAGATTTTCAAGAACATCGACGAGATTTGCCCTGTGAGTCGTATTTTGCGTCAAACTGATATCGATAAGCTCGTCAGCACTCTTTGCGACGGTTTTACACTCACCCAGCTGCGGGAGTATCACAGTGCTCGCAAGCCAGAGCCCAGGGATCATGACGTGGTCAAATACGAGTGGATAGAAGATATTGTACCGTGGACATCAATGAACTCGGTTCGACTGCGTGGCAATGATAAGGCTACTCTTGCTCAGAAGATCGTGCTGGATAAATGGATGATCGAGGTCCAGGAACATGCGGACGATCTTGGAAAAGCGTTTGTTTGGATGGACCCTGATATCTTCCCCTTTCTCACATGTTTGTTCCCAAACCCCTGAGCTTAGTGGTATATTTGCTGACGGACGGTGATAGATGGTCCCAACAATGTAGGGCGTCTACTCTGGGAGCTAAGGAGGGATTTCGTAATCGCCGAAGACGAGAAGTTAACATTGCATACTCCAAAATGCCGCCTCAATATTACAGCGAAGAAGTCAACTACTTACGGTATCCTTGCTCATATCGACCAGGCCGTGCAGAGGATGAAGAGCCGGGTTATCGACGTTGCCCCCCTTCTTCCGAAGACTCGATCATCAGCTCTGACGCAGGCAGAGCGCAAGGAGCTCGGCCGACTTACCAAGACTTCAATCACGCCTGTAAGGCATGGCTCTGAGGAGGTACGAAATTCCAGTTGTCCCTGAAACGTACAATATCATACTGACTGGTTTCTAGAAGTTGCGCGTCTCCTGGATGCCCGAGCCTGACGAACCTCCAACCGAGACAGAAGACCTTGCAGACACAGTATTCCGCTTAATCGTTGGCCGTGTCGCCCCAGGTGCCGACCACGGTGTCCTCCAGTGTCTTCCGCGATCCGACGACCCAGACCTAGTCACTGGCCAGCCCATCCCGGTACAACGCCAGGCTCGGGCTATGTCGTGGAGAGACAAGCTCCAGAAGTGGCTGAGAATTGTCGCACCCATCAGCAAGGATACTCCAAACACCCCACCGCTAGGGCTGCCCTCGAAATCAGCGATTCCCGAAGGGAAATGTCCTCCCGGTAGAAATGTAGACGCTACTACAGCAAAATTTGGCCATATCCTACACCAACGCGCTAGCACTTCGATCAAGGAACTCTACCGCAAACGTCGCATCCTAGCTCCCCTTACACCTCATCCCGCTGCTTTCTCCGCTCTCAAACCTGACAACGACTTGCCCCTGAAGGAGACTACTTCCATCGTTATGCACCTTTCGCCTCATGTCGATACTTTAAAGAGTCCAGTAACGGATTCTAACGAGAAGAAACGTCCAGATCCTGCTGTCTATATTACCATTCCCGTTCACCCTCAGGCCGATCTCGACAATTTCACAATCCCGGGCGACGCGACCGTCCACATGTATGTGTCGTGGCACAACAGTGACGTGCTGCTTCCTACAGAGGCCGTAGATGTCCGCCTTGAGCACAAGCGCTCCTATGCTCTCTCAATAACCCACCCAGGTATAAAGAAATTCTTTGAGAAATCGCAGCTCAACCTTCGTGAGGGTCAACTGAGAACACCGAGCCAAGCCAAGCTCATGGTTCCGGGAAATTGGTTGCGAGGAAGTGGCAGCGGCAGGATGAACACCGCGAAAAGAGACGTTCTTTACGACTTCCGTGGAACCGAGATCCATCAGACCGTGGAAATGCCTTGGAATGGCCACACACTGCGCTACTCTAGCATCGAGGCTGGACAACATGGCGGCCAACGCCAGGAGATTACAGTCCAAGCTGGTTTACCAGGCGAGAACCCAGTTGCTTTCAAGGGTAAGAGACGTGAAAGCTTTTTACAACTGGTCGAGGACGTGGCCACTGGAAAATACTTCTCCTGGTCTGAAGGCTACAAATCCATCAAGAGCCGCCAGCTAGAAGACTTCAGTTACAATCTGCTTGAAGAGGATCTCCCTGAGGACGTCATTGTCGACAACGAAAAGTTTGATGCGAACGGTCGCGTGAATCGATACAGACCAGGTACCAGCGGAGACAGTGACAAGCCTGACCCGCGTGGCCGCTTTAATCAACATAGGCCAGCCACCGAGATGAGCAATGACAGGTATGATTCGCGAGATCGTGTCGGTGAGCGTGAGTCAGCCACGAATAGGAATGATGATGAACTTGAAATCCGTGGCCGCGTGAATAAACGCACGCCTGGCCCAAAGCCAGAGAAAGGAACTCCAGTTGAAATGTTTGACGACATAGACGCATTGCTTGCGATGGAGGGCCCGACTTCTGAGCTCAACCCTGAGACGACACCCAAGTCTGACAAGCAACAGCTTGACTGGACCGAATTTGAGAAGAAACCTAAGTCCGAAACAGACGCGGGAGAGGAGCTCATGAGTTTCCTCAATCGGTATGCCAGACCTAAGGCCTTTTTGAGCAAAGACAACGAGACGCTCTACGGCATCGACGCTGCCTACCAACACAACAAGTCAATGACGAGCGTTAGCGTTCCTGAGGATGTCCTTCCGATCGGTAACTCGCCAGAATTGCCAGAAGACACGGCTATACCACCAACCCCTCAGAAGGAAAAGGTTACAACTGAAAAGGAGGAGACTAGCAAAACGGTCCAGAGTGAGAAGTCCGCAACCCGGGAGCCGACACCCAAGCCGACACCCAAGCCAACGCTCAAGCCAGCACTTAAGCCAGCACCCAAGCCCAAAGCAACGCCAGAGCAATCAGCAACTACCGAGAAAGCCAAGGAAAAGCCCTACAGATACACCGCAAAACCCGCCAAAATGTCAGATGCCGATGCATTTGCGGCTCAGTTCGCCAGGCGAATGACTTCAGAAAACAGGGCGAAGGACCGAAATAGTGTCATTGGGTTCTTCGACACCCTTCCAGAGGAGAAGAAGCCTGCTAGAAAGAAGTCCGCTCAGAAGAAGAAACAATCTGCTTCAAAGAAAAATCAACCGGCATCGAAAAACAAAAAGGCTTGAACCGCTCTCAAATGAAGTGTTTGAATATGCTACTATGACGACCAAAACGATGTCAGGAGTACGAACGCCGGTATGAACAAGGACGATCATCCATGAGGCTTGTGTGTCCCTCTGTTGCGCCTCTGTTTCTCTACAGCGCCACGCCAGTTGTGACGTGCAAATTGGAAATGAGGAAATCGTGAAATTGCGAGAGGCAGCTTTGGATACGCAGAAGAAGAAGGGAAAAACAATACTGTATACTAAAAAGGCATGTGTACCATAGTTATGTATCATCATTATTGGACGAAGGTATAGAACGAAGGGGGCAATTATGTATCATTAGATACACCACAATACAACCAAAATCTGCCTTAGAAAGCATTGCGGTACAGTGCACACTACTGTCACTACATCACTGTGATCGCAACGCGCACTGGACCATCCGCCTGTACGAGCTACTAGCACTTGGAGAGTCAGCTTCAACTTACGGATAACCCAAGTCAACCAAATGAGCAGAGTGCACATCACAAGCAGCTTCATTTGCAGCAGTCACACATCACATCACAAGCATCATAGGTAGGAACAAGAAATTTTTGCACGAATCACTTCTAGACTCTCTATTCTTTTTTTGATTTGCACACAACCGAGATCCTGGCCTTTTTTCTTTGCCTCTCATTATGTGCCCCCAGACAAAAGCCGAGTGCTCATGCCAACATGATCATTTCGTCGTAGAAGCGAGTACATCAGCCCTTGGGCGTGAGATCGAAGTCGTAAGATCCCACTGAAGGTTGTCATTTCAGAAATAAGTTGCTTATTTCTTGGCGGCCTTGGCAGCGGACTTGGTGACCTTGCCGGCAGCACCAGTGGACTTCTCGACGGCCTTGATGACACCGACGGCGACGGTCTGTCGCATGTCACGGACGGCGAAACGACCCAGAGGAGGGTAGTCAGTGAAAGCCTCAACACACATGGGCTTGGAGGGAACCATCTTGACGATGGCAGAGTCACCAGACTTGATGAACTTGGGGGCGGACTCAGTAGCCTTACCAGTTCGGCGGTCGATCTTCTCCTGGATCTCGGCGAACTTGCAGGCAATGTGGGCAGTGTGGCAATCGAGGACGGGAGCGTAACCAGCACCGACCTGACCGGGGTGGTTGAGGACGATGACCTGGGCGGTGAAAGAAGCGGCAGCCATGGGGGGGTCGTTCTTGGAGTCACCAGCGACGTTACCACGTCGGATGTCCTTGACGGAGACGTTCTTCACGTTGAAACCAACGTTGTCACCGGGCTGGCCCTCAGTGAGCTGCTCGTGGTGCATCTCGACGGACTTGACTTCAGTGGTGACGTTGGAAGGAGCGAAGGTAACGACCATACCGGGCTTGATGACACCAGTCTCGATACGGCCGACGGGAACCGTTCCAATACCACCGATCTTGTAGACATCCTGGAGGGGAAGACGGAGAGGCTTGTCAACGGGACGCTTGGGGGGCTCGATGGAGTCAATGGCCTCGAGGAGGGTCTTGCCAGAGAGCTTGCCGGACTTGATCTCACGCTCCCAACCCTTGTACCAGGGACAGTTGGTGGAGGGGGTAAGCATGTTGTCACCGTTGAAACCGGAGATGGGGACGAAAGCGACAGCCTTGGGGTTGTAGCCGACCTTCTTGATGAAAGAGGAGGTCTCCTTGATGATCTCCTGGTAACGGGCCTCAGACCACTTGGTGGTGTCCATCTTGTTGATGGCGACGATGAGGTTCTTGACACCAAGGGTGTAGGCAAGAAGAGCGTGCTCGCGGGTCTGGCCATCCTTGGAGATACCAGCCTCGAACTCACCAGTACCGGCGGCAATGATGAGAATGGCGCAATCGGCCTGAGAAGTACCAGTAATCATGTTCTTGATGAAGTCACGATGACCGGGAGCGTCTGAGTGATATGTTAGTACGAATAAAGGGAGAACAATGCATGAGCGACAACATACCAATGACGGTGACATAGTAGCGAGGAGTCTCGAACTTCCAGAGAGCAATATCGATGGTGATACCACGCTCACGCTCAGCCTTGAGCTTGTCAAGAACCCAGGCGTACTTGAAGGAACCCTTACCGAGCTCGGCGGCTTCCTATTGTTGAATGGTTAGTGACTGCTTAGCACGTGACGATGCGCTCAGAAGGTTGTGAAAATGAGAGGGCAGAAACGCGCATCGATCGAGTGGCGGGGTAAATGCCCCACCAAAAAAATTACGGTCATATCGCAAAATTTTTGGTCTCGAGCGGGGTAGCGGGCACGTTTCGAGTCGAATGGAGAATCGATGGGCAAAGGACGCGCGATCGAAGGGAAAGTAACTAACCTTCTCGAACTTCTCGATGGTTCGCTTGTCGATACCACCGCACTGGTAGATCAAGTGACCGGTCTGTGGAGCGATGTCAGCATGTTATCTTTGAGATACTCCGCCAGGTCTTGGTCGGGATAACGATGGCAGATAAGCTCATCGTCGAGGGTAGTACTCACAGTGGTCGACTTGCCAGAGTCGACGTGGCCGATGACGACGACGTTAAGGTGAGTCTTGTCCTCCTTACCCATTTTGACGGTTGTGAATGGTTTGTGGTACGGTTTTTGATGTACGTGCTGTGAAGAGGTCAGCGGCCGAAGAGGCAACGTGAGGAGAGCAAGCGATGATCAAGAAAATCTTCAAAGGAACTCGCAATGAAGCGATAGATCTTGTCGATGTTCTTGAACAAGGCCTTGAAGGGTTGGACATACAAAATCGCAGATCGGATGCTTGAACCGGGTATGCGAGACGAGGAGGGAAGAGAAGAAAAAATCCAAGGGAAGTGGTGGGAGGAGGAGATTTAAAAGGCGAGCCAGAGGAAGGAGGGGTGGGGTGGGGTGAAAGGCAGAAGCGGCGCCGCGGGGCAACCAACTTGGCAAGCCCTAACAGCCCAGAGGTTTTTTTCACAAGGCAGGTGGGTCTGTGTGAGCCAATCATTAAGCTCTAAAGCATAATGACGGCGAGTGAGTAAAAGCTCCAGGAATGGTACGAGGAGGGGCAGAAGAAGCTCGACGAGGACGGAGATATCAGAGGTTTGTCGTTAATATCGAATGATCAGGATCAAGTATCTACGGTGGCCATTACGAGATCACACTGCAGAGCCTACTGCTCAGTTGGACGAGTCTTTGTGGTGTTGCTGGCCGCTGTTAAAGCTGATATCTGGGGAGCGAGAAAACTGGCATGTTCAGCACAACACATCGATTCTCAACGAACGAACAAGCCCCTGCACCCGAGAGGAATCTCAGTAAAGCCGCTGTCCTCTAGTGCACTACGTAAGGTAGGCACGGTATTCAGAAATAGAAACATCACCATGGCGCCTCCACGCTGCTCTACCAGCAGCTCAATAGCCTATCTCAACCTCTTTCAATATCTGTCTTCCACTTCCACCAGAGCAATCGCAAAAGCGCTGGTTCTGGGTGGAGGTACAAGCGAACTGTTAGGCGGGTACATGCGGGGCACAATTTTTGCTATTCTTTTCTTGTGCGCATCGCCGCCCAAAGGAAAATTTCTCACTACGGCCTGAAGAAAAATTCAATCATGCTGGCGGTCGAGGCTCGGTGGGTTACCCTTTCGTGTGGTGGATGCGCGGGTGCGTCCTAAAATTGTCTGGGGCCTGCTTGTGGCCGGTCTGATACAGAGACGAGCATGGCTCTGGGACTCTTCTGCCCAACGCAGCATCTGAGGATTTTTTTGCCCCTCAATTTCACGTTCGTCAGCCCAACGCAACCACGGCGTGAGTCACTTGAGTAATCTTAATGTATTCTTTCTGAATTCTCTTGTGTACAATGTCACACCGATAAGAGTATCCTGCCCGAGCGACTCTCTTTGTTGGCTCTCGTTCTGTGTACATTTTCTTCCGGTTCGACCAAGGGAGGGGAAGCTTCAAGATTGCCCCTCCTCTACGGAGTATGGCGCGCTCTGTTTCTGGCTCAAACTCCCTGCACGAATCAACGTCATGCTCCACTGAATATTTTAGCGCCTGTGGGTTGCCACCACCGCTGCGCGACCAGTGCACGGAAGATCTAGCCTTGGCTGGGATGTGTGAGGTGGTCAAACAGGAAGTTGACTGTCTCATATCAAAATTTTCAAGCTGGAGGGGTAATACGATAGGTACAGATACCTTAGGTAAAAGTGAATATCAGCAGTTCAGTCACTGTAGACATCATGACATCAGGCAGATCATATTTGATCGCTTCTACTAATGTCCAGAATATTCGTGCGGTCAATTACTGACCATAATCTCCGCTCCTTGTTGCATTTCCTCGTCTTGGTCTTGCGCCTGTGTCTCGCCCAGCTGTTGTTTACTCGTTGTTGCGTTGTGCCCCTCCCCCTCCTTGTCAACAACCCCTCCATCAAAGCTGCTGGGATCAATAGCATCTAACCACTGAACAAGCGCGCCAGAGCAGAAAAGAAACCACAAGGAGGGGCAAAAAACATGTCCAGCCACTATGGAGCCCACACGAAGCGCAGCTGCAGCTCACCTTGATCTGTCGCGGGCTAGGCGGGATAGTCGTGCTCTTGGTGGAGGTCCAGATGAGGACCCTGGGGGTTTAATAAAACTTCTGACGATAAATCAGGATGCCAAAATCAGCTGTGCTAAAAGCCCCTGAATATATACTAAATTTACACAAGTCTTTTCGTCACTTAGGGTACGGGTCTTAGGTTTCTTGCCTCCCATAAGGACCTTGCGATTTCATGCAGCTTCAAGTGCCACTTCGATACCTCGAGCCATTGAGGAATTGCCAGATTGTCAAACGCAAAGTTTGTACATACTGCTGCACTTTATCCGTATGACACAGCTGAACCTATCCTCCAGCTGCTACCCCGATGACCCTGACGGCAGAAATGTATCACCGTAAGCTTAATGGAAGAATAACCTTTGAGAGTTTTGGGATTTTCCTTGTCCATTAGATATCTCGCTGAACGTAGGAGGCCGTGATCCCTTGTTAATGGATTGTTGCAACATGTCAGTAATCT